ATGACCGTGTTTTCTTCTTCCAGGGCCCTCTTCTCTTTTTGGATGGTCCTCTTCTCTCTTTGGATGGCCCTTTTCGTCTTTCTCTCCATGGCCCTCTTCTGTCTTTCGCTGGCTCTGATTTCTCTTTCGGTGGCTCTCTTGTATCTTTTGATGGCTCTTTTCTCTTTTTCGATGGCACCCTTCAATTTTGCGATGCTTTCTTCTCCCTTTAGGTAGCCCTTTTCTCCGGTTTGATGGCCCTAGCTTTTTTGAAGGTCTTCTTTTGTCGAGGGCCCTCTTCTCTCTTTCGGTGACCCCCTTCTCTCTTTCGAGAACCGTCTTCTGTTTTTTTGATGGTCTTCTCACTCTAAATGATCGTCAGCTCTCTTTTTCGGGTGATTTTGGTCTCTCTTTCGGAAGCCTTCTTTCTCTCCATGGCCCTCTTCTGTCTTCCAATGGCCTTCTTTTCTCTTTTGATAGCCCTCTTCTCTTCTTCCATGATCTTCTCTCTTTAAGTGGCTCTTTTCTCCTTTTTGATGTTCTTGGTCTTTTTTTAACGGCCTTCTTTTGTCTTTAGAGGGCCCTCTTCTCTTTTTCAATGGCTCTCTTCTCTCTTTTAATGGTTCTTTTCTCTCTTCCAATGCTCCCCTTCTGTTTTTCGATGACCCTCTTTTCTATATTGACGGTCTTCATCTTTCCATGGCCCTATTCTTTCTTTTTACGGCCCTTTTGTCCCCGTCGATGGCCCTCTTCTCTTTTCGATGGCTTTCTTCTCTCTTTAGATGGCTTTTGTCTCCTTCTCAATGGCCCTGGTCTTTTTCTGACGCCCCTCTTTTTTCCGATAGCCCACTTATTTCTTTCCATGCCCTTTTCTCTCTTTCAATGGCCCTCTTCTCTTTGTCGAGGGTCTTCATTTTTCTTTCGATGGCCCCCTCTCTCGTTTTATGTCCGTTTTTTCCCCTTCGATGGCCCCCTTTTATTTTTAGATGACCCTCTTGTATCTTTCGATGACCCTTTCTATTTTTTCGACAGCCCTGGTTTTTCTTTCAAAGCCTCCTTCCTTTCCATGGCCCTTTTCTCTCTTTCCACGGCCCTCTTTTTTCTTTCAATGGCCCTCTTTTTTTGGATGGCTTTCTTCTTTAGATAGCTCCTTTCTCCTTTTCCATGGCCCTGGTCTTTTTTAAAAGCTTTTTTAGGGCTCTTTTCTCTTTTCTAAAGGCCCTCTTCTCTCTTTCAATGACCTTCTTTACAAGAGGATCATTTATCAATTTAAACGATCCTCTTGTTTCTTTCTATGGCCCTCTTCTCCTTTTTTATAGCCCTTTTTCCATCTAGATGACTCTGTTCTCTTTTTCGAGGGCCCTTTTCTACTTTTCAATGGCCTTGGTTTCTCTTTCGATGGTCCTGATTTCTCTTTCGATGGCCTTCTTTCTTTAGATAGCCCTTTTCTTTTTTTCAAAGAGCTTGGTCTCTTTTAAAGGCTTTCTTTCTTCCAAGGGCCTTCTTCTCTTTTTAGATGACCTTCATTTTTCTTTCGATGGCCTTCTTCTCTTTTCCGATAGCCCTCTTGTATCTTTGAGGGTCCTTTTCTCCTTTTCGAAGACCCTGCTCTCTCTTTCGAAGGCCTTTTCCTTGTTTCTATGGCCTTTTTCTCTGTTTCTATGGCCGTTTTCTCTCTTTCGGTGAGCCCCTTATGTCTTTCGAAAGCCCTCTTTTTTTTTCTATGGCCTTGTTCTGTCCTTTTCAGTGATCTTGGTCTTTCTTTCGAAGGCCTTATTCTTTCTCTCCATGGCCCTTTTCTGTCTTTCGATGGCCTTTTTTTTCTTTAAATGGCTCTCTTCTCTTTCAGTGACCTTTTCCTCCTGTTTGATGTCCTTGGCTCTTCCTTAAAAGCCTTCTTTTCTTTTTGGAGGGTTGTTTTCTCTCTTTCAATGGCTCTCTTCTTTCTTTCAATGGCTCTTTGCTCTTTTTCAATGGCTGTCTTCTCTTTTCGATGGATTTCTTCTCTCTTTAGATAGTTTTTTAAGCCTTTTTTTTTTCATAACCTTCTTTTCTATTTCGATGGCTGTCTTCTCCCTTTCGATGGCTCTTTTCTCTCTTTCAATGCCCTTTTTCTCTCTGGCCTTTCTTTCGAAGGCCGGCTTCTTTGTCTCCATTTCTTTTTCGATAGCTCCCGTCTCCCTTTCCATGCCCCTCTTCTTTCTTTCAGTGGTCCTCTTCTCTCTTTCGATACTCCTTTTCACTCTTTCGATATTTCTTTCGTTATCTCTTTCAAGGACTCTACTAACAAAAAATTGATACAATCCCAAAATGACACATGGAAGCAGGAGAGCAAAATCTCTCTTTCGATGTGTTTCTTTCGATCGCTTTCGTTATTTCTTCATACATCCTTGTTTCAATGTGCTTTTCGATATCTGTTCCATTGCCTCTTTAAATATATCTCTTTCGATATGTCTTTTCGACATGCCTTTCTTTGCCGCATTCGACATCTCTCTTTCGATATCACCCTTTCGATGTGTCTGTTTTGATAACTCTTTCGTTGTCTCTTGATACATCTCTTTCGACATCCCAAGAATGATTTAGATTACAGTGTTTTATTCTCTAAAACTTTTTCATTCAACTTGTTCAAACTTCTGGTTTTACATGCAAAATCCATATGTTCAGAAAACCATTGTACACACATAATAACACTAAAATATTTACGTTGCACTACTATACCAAGTTAAATGAAGAAGAGTGTTCGGATGAGAAGACGTAGCACAATTATAGTATGAAATGACAAATAATTTTTTGATGACTTATTTGTGTTAGAAAATTTGTAAAAAATCTTGTATCTGAAAATTAGAAAGACCGAATCAGCAGGTGTTGGCCCGTGAAGAATTACAATAGTTCATATTGCGATTACCGCGCACTCCCGCAACATAAATCAAAAGGGTTCACGTATATGGCTGTGGGCGTTCCGACTTCTTTGATTAAAGTACAACAGCAATAATTAACCGAAAAGGTGGTAAACCCTGTATCGACTAGTGTAAGAGTTAAGAAGTTGCAAACTTGGAGAAACTTCCTCCAATATGTTTATCTGCACTGTAACAAATAGCTTTGGTTTGTGTTCAGTGTGTAATGTTTTGAAATTTAGCAGCACTTTAATTAGTTGGTGAAATTCTTCGTAAAGCGGGTTATTATTTCCCCGAGTTTCATTCTCCACAATGTCACTCTTAAAAGATTCCTTTGTTTTATTGCCCGCTTTATGACATTCTGTTTTCTTTACCCTAATAATCTTAGAGGGCGGAATTTAAAAAGTTTTGATATTAAATACCTCCAAAGTTATTTCGTTTTAAAAATGGCCTTTTACCACGTAAATCATGCGACGCTGCTAGGAGAGGGTGGAATTATTAAACATGCTTTTAGTCGAACATACTGATTTTAGAATTTTAGAAGTTCGTAGTGAACGAAGAAGACGGTTCTGAGACGATATATTCGACACACTTAACTTGTTATTAAACGCAGCTTTTACCGACAAAACCTAATTCAATTTGAACACCTGGCGTTGCAAAAATTATCGAACATGAAACAAATTAACTCCACTCTGGTTGATTTGATTAGTTTCGGAACGACTAATTGAAAATTTTGCATAACTTTGTTGTGTTCAGTGATTCCGGTTTAATTTGTTTTGTTTAAGTTTGTGCGTTGCAGTAGTTAAACTTTACTGTCTTTTTTATTGGGGTGTAAAATTATAAACCGTCAAATCGAAACCGATGTAATTGAAGTGTTATTGTCAGAATTTGCGCGATTCACCGACCCCGGCTAATTAGTGGCAATGTAGTTTCATTAACTACAGATCGGAACAGCTTGGTAACTAGTTGTGTTAATTGTAATGAAATGCTATTTAAACTTTATGGTAATCCGTTCGAACGGACAGCAAACTTTCCAGCGTTACATTTCGCTGCGGGAATTTCACCTCTTCCATCAGGTTTCGTCCTGTCATTCTTATCTGCGAGTTTCGTTAATGACTGGTGGAACATAGCGACTAATATGCGACAGTTGATTAAAATTACGTATATTAAAAGCGACTACGTTAAAATCGATTCAGAATTGTTTTTTTCGGTCCTGAAAAATGGGCGAAAGCTTCAATAATTTAAAATTTTAATTGTCTGGAGCTAAGCCGCAGTACAGTTATCTAAATGGCGTTTTACGAGTAAGTAATAAACAATTCTACACCACCGCACGGCTCTTCCAGCCGTAATTACCGTTGCTGGTACAATTGAACTGTAATTATTGTCAATATGTTAATTTATTTTACTGTCGTTATTGATCGGTGTGACCTTTCTCGTTGTGCATTGTTCATCCGCACTGTCATTTTTGCTCGCTTTCTGTGTTAAAGCTATCGCTTAGTGTGGTCTACAGCTAACCTCTCACCTCCAAATGGCACAGTAATTCATACCTTCCTGAATTTGGAGTCCATCAAAAGCCATTGTCCCCGATTGATTTTTTCCTTTGTAATGTGCCTTACGTAGTGTAGTACAATCGACTCGCAGGAAATTACACACTCTATGGAAGAGACCGTTCGAAATATAATAGATATTGTTGGCGGAGTCGGGTAGCGGAGGCTCCACCCGATTATTAACGTTTTTTCACCTTTGCTGCGTACAGGTGTTAATCAAAGCCGAATCATCAACAGGAAATTAATGATGTTGGGACTTGTCAAAGGATGATGTAGGAGGTCGCATTTGCATGAGTAGAGATAAATAGAACGGTTAAATATTTATAAACGTGCCAAAACTCAATTAACTACAGTTGGGTACACGTCCCATCTAACTTTTCGATGAGATTTCGGAGAGGTCACGTCTTTGAGGTTGCGTTTTTCAGATCACTGCAAATATTGGAGCGGAGGTGTTATCGACACGTTTACACAGAGAAGACAAATAAACACGGCGAACGAAAGAATTGACGTCCGGTAGCATTTAAATAGCGCTGACGTCACCGAACTTACGTTTTCGTTAATTTTTACATTTTTGTTGCAGCACACGCTCACCGGGCACTCTGGCAAGGTGATGGCGGCCAAGTTTCTTGGCGAAGCGTCCAAAGTCGTCACCGGGAGTCACGATCGTACCCTTAAGATATGGGATCTCAGAAGCAGAGCCTGTGAGTATAAACCCGTTCGTGTTTAAGTCGAAATGGTCGCGTGTGTTATCGAACACAGTTATCACTAACGGCAGACTAATTATTTTTTGTTGGCTCGGGGATTCGTAAAAAGGGATTTTTGCGAAGGCGGCCGACGGCGGGGAGACGGGAGTTTTGTTGTTAGTGTGGGAAACCGGAGGTTTTGCCGTTTTTACGTGGAAATATATTATCGGTGCGGAATGGAAGTAACGCGTTTTTTATGGGTTGGGTATGGGTGAGCGTGGGTTGAAACGCGGGTGATTCATAATGGACGTTCCATAAAACAAAAGTGAATTCAAAAATGTTAAATATGTGAGGTGTCCCTGGTGGACAAAAATTACGTATTCATTTGACTCGTGGAAACATTCTTTGACGCAGTCAAGCAGAACTCGATTCATAATTTACAATTATTTTCAAAAAAGCAACTTTGGATACCAGCGATTTTCAACATATTTGAATTTTTATGGAAAAAATTGTCAAGTCTAGCCAGGTCAGGCTGGTGTAGTCAAGAGCAATCGGAGTTTATCAGGTCAAGCCAGGTCAGGTCAGGTCAAGCCAGTCAGGCCAGAGATCATTTAACTCCCAGGAATTTCGATTTGATCTTGCTATCTAGGATTCTATACGAGGTTAATGGTCAGGCCAGATCAGGTATGGTAAGGTCAGATCTAATCATGCCAGATCAGGTTGGGTCAAAAAGGCCCACGAAGTTGAAGAACTTTGATACTTTGGAAACTTGAAGAATCCTTGCTCTGAAAATTGCCAAACCTAGTTTCATTCTACACAAACCTGAGAAATTTTGACGCGTCAAACATTTAAGTCTCCAAAACGCTCAGAACCTTGTGTTCTCGGAGCCATATCAACTAGGGATTTTAGTTTCGGAGATTTCACAAATCGGAGAAGTTTTGAAACCCGGGAGATTTAAGCTTTTGAAATATCTACGAAGCTTGAAATTTGGAACCAAGAATGACCAAAGAACTGGAAAAATCTAGACTTCTACAATTCTCAAAGAAACTGTAAATGTACGAAGCTAATAGGCGTAAGTCACGGAAACTTAATAATCTGGGCTTTAGACTTGAAAAACCTACGAAGCTTAAAAAATCCAAGCTTCCGAAAGGTCTATAAACCTGAATTTTTTTAATTCCTAGTCTCGTAAATGCTTGCAACTTGATATTCTATATAACTTGAAAGATTTAGGCTTCAGAAAAATCTAACAAGTTTGGGAACTTGGACCAAGGACAGTTGTTTAGAAACCTGAAAAAACCTTGCCTTGAAAAATTTAAAACCTGGCCTTACAATTTGCACAAACCTGAGAAATCTTGACACCTGAACATTTAGGGCTCCCAAAACTCTAGAAAATTAAGTGTTCTTGGACCAGTTCCAAGCTGAGGGATTTTTGTCCCGGAGTTATCGAAATCAGAGAAGCTTTGACAACCTGGTAGACTTAGGCTTCTGTAAGACCTACGAAGCTTGATAGTTTGAACTAAGAATGACCCAAGAATTTGAACATTTTAAATTTACGAATCCGACAGACATAAGTCACGGAAACTTAGCAACCTGGGCCTTGGACTTGAAAAGCTTACGAAACATAAAACATTTAGTTTTATGTTTCGTAAGCTCGTAGGCTCCCGAAAAACCTATGGAATTTAATGTTCTTAGACGCGCACAAGCTTGAAAGTTGAAATTCTACAAAGTTGAGGAATTTTAGTTTCGGAAGTCCCTCAAGCCTGAGAAACTTCGATAACTTGAAAGGTTTAGGCTTCAGAAAGACTTACGAAATTGAAAAACTTTGACCAAGCATACTTTAGAAACCCGAAGAAACATTGCCTTGAAAATTGCCAAAAGTGGCTTTAATCTACACAAACCTGAGACATTTTTGCCCGTCAAACATTTAGGTCTTCAAAACGCCCAGAACCTAGTGTTCTCGTACCCATATCAACCTAGGGATTTTAGTTTCGGAGATTTCACAAATCGGAGAAGCTTTGACAACCTGGGAGATTTAGGCTTTTGAAAAACCTACGAAGCTTGAAATTTGGAACCAAGAATGACCAAAGAACTAGAAAAATCTAAACTACTACAATTCTCCAAGAAACTCTAAATGTACAAATCTAATAGGCGTAAGTCACGGAAACTTAATAACCTGGGCTTTGGACTTGAAAAACCTACGAAGCTTAAAAAATCTAAGCTTCCGAAAGGTCTATAAACCTGATTTTTTTTAATTCCTAGACTCGTAAAAGCTTGCAACTTGAAATTCTACGAAGCTGTGGAACTTTAGTCCCGGATGTCTCCCAAGCCTGAGAAACTACTATAACTTGAAAGATTTAGGCTTCAGAAAAATCTAACAAGTTTGGGAACTTGGACCAAGGACGGTTGTTTAGAAACCTGATAAAACCTTGCCTTGAAAAATGTAAAACCTGGCCTTACAATCCGCACAAACCTGAGAAATCTTGACACCTGAACATTTAGGACTCCCAAAACTCTAGAAACTTAAGTGTTCTTGGACCAGTTCCAAGCTGAGGGATTTTAGTCCCGGACATCTCCAAATCTGAGACGCTTTGACAACCTGGTAGACTTAGGCTTCTGTAAGACCTACGCAGCTTGAGAGTTGGAACTAAGAATGACCCAAGAATTTGAACACCTTAAATTTACGAATCCGATAGACATAAGTCACGGAAACTTAGCAACCTGGGCCTTGGAATTGAAAAGCTTACGAAACGTAAAACATTTAGTTTTATGTTTCGTAAGCTCGTAGGCTCCCGAAAAACCTATGGACTTTAATGTTCTTAGACGCGCACAAGCTTGAAAGTTGAAATTCTACAAAGTTGAGTAATTTTAGTTTCAAAAGTCCCTCAATCCTGAGAAACTTCGATAACTTGAAAGATTTAGGCTTCAGAAAGACTCACGAAGTTGAAAAACTTTGACCAAGCATACTTTAGAAACCTGAAGAATCCTTGCCTTGAAAATTGCCAAACGTGGCCTTAAACAAACCTGAGACATTTTTACCCGTCAAACATTTAGGTCTCCAAAACGCCTAGAACTTAGTGTTCTCGTACCCATATCAACCTAAGGATTTTAGTTTCGGAGATTTCACAAATCGGAGAAGCTTTGGCAACCTGGGAGATTTAGGCTTTTGAAATACCTACGAAGCTTGAAATTTGGAACCAAGAATGACCAAAGAACTAGAAAAATCTAGACTCCTACAATTCTCAAAGAAACTGTAAATGTACGAATCTAATAGGCGTAAGTCACGGAAATTTAATAATCTGGGCTTTGGACTTGAAAAACCTACGAAGCTTAAAAAATCTAAGCTTCCGAAAGGTCTATAAACCTGAACTTTTTTAATTCCTAGACTCGTAAAAGCTTGCAACTGGAAATTCTACGAAGCAGGGGAACTTTAGTCCCGGATGTCTCCCAAACCTGAGAAACTACTATAACTTGAAAGATTTAGGCTTCAGAAAAATCTAACAAGTTTGAGAACTTGGACCAAGGATAGTTGTTTAGAAACCTGAAAAAATCTTGCCTTGAAAAATTTAAAACCTGGCCTTACAATCTGCACAAACCTGAGAAATCTTGACACCTGAACATTTAGGCCTCCCAAAACTCTCCAAACCTGAGAAGCTTTGACAACCTGGTAGACTTAGGCTTGTGTAAGACCTACGAAGTTTGAGAGTTGGAACTAAGAATGACCCAAGAATTTGAACACCTTAAATCTGCGAATCCGACAGACAAGTCACGGAAACAGCAACCTGTGCCTTGGACTTGAAAAGCTTACGAAACATAAAACATTTAGTTTTATGTTTCGTAAGCTCGTAGGCTCCCGAGAAACCAATGGACCTTAATGTTCTTAGACGCGCACAAGTTTGAAAGTTGAAATTCTACAAAGTTGAGGAATGTTAGTTTCGAAAGTCCCTGAGAAACTTCAATAACTTGAAAGATTTAGGCTTCAGAAAGACTTACGAAGTTGAAAAACTTTGACCAAGCATACTTTAGAAACCTGAAGAATCCTTGCCTTGAAAATTGCCAAAGGTGGCTTTATTCTACACAAACCTGAGACATTTTTACCCGTGAAACATTTAGGCCGTCAAAAAGCCCGGAACCTAGTGTTCTTGAACCCATATCAAACTAGGAATTTTAGTTCCGGAGGTTTCACAGATCGGAGAAGCTTTGACAACCTGGGAGATTTAGGCTTTTGAAATGCCTACCAAGCTTCATAACTGCAACTAAGTATAAACTAAGAATTTGAAAAATTTAGACTCCTACAATTTTCAAAACAACCTTAATTCTACGGGACAACCGAAATTGAACACTTTCGATATACAAACCTATTTAATAGGTGCAAGTCACGGATACTTGAAAACCTGGGCTTTGGACTTGAAAAACCCACGAAGCTTAAAAAATCTAAGCCTCCGAAAGGTCTACGAACCTGAATATTCATTCCTAGGCTCGTAAAAGCTTGCAACTTGAAATTCTACGGGAATTTTAGTCCCGGAAGTCTCCCAAGCATGAGAAACTTCGACAACTTGAAAAATTTAGGCTTCAGAAAAACCTAACAAGTTCAGGACCAACAATATTTTAGAAACCTGTACAGTTCTTGCCTTGAAAAAATCCAAACCTGGCCTTACAATCTGCACAAACCTGATAAATTTTGACACCTGAGAGATTTAGGCCTACAAAAAGTCTAGTGTTCTTGGACTAGTTCTAAGCTGAGGCATTTTAGTCCCGGAGGTCTCCAAATCTAAGAAGCTTTGACAACCTGGGGGATTTAGGCTTCTGAAAAACTTTCCGATAGACATAGGTCTCGCAACCTGGACTTCGGACTTGAAAAAAAAGTTCTCTTATGTCTTATTGAAACTACCTCCTAATGTAAGGCATCAAAGCAATGTGTTTGATTAATACACTGGGAAAACTACCAGAACCAAAGGTAATTTTAAAGCAAGATATCTCTGAATTCCGAAGTCAAAAATCTATCATAGACGCGACGAAAA